GTTCACGTTCGCCCTGGAATCGAACCGCCATATTGAGGACCTCATGGCAGGCTCAATGAGACGAGCACTGCCCTCAACACTTGGCGGCTTGAGCACAGACAATAATAATAATTCAACTGAAAGCACACAGATTATTGAGGAGTGCATTTTTGATGATGTCTTTTTTCTTGATTTGTCGAAAATTATCTTGGTCAAGGTTCTGTTGATTTGTAAGTTCGTTTCTGTACACATGAAGAGTGACAGAGACTGTTTTGTTTAGTTGAAAACACCGTTATTCTTCGTTCGTCACTTATTAACCCTTACTTGATTATAACCCAGCTTATCAGCTGCTCGACGTACTGTCCTTTTTGTCTTTAAGTTTAAGCAGAATCGAAGTATCCGGTTCACTGTCACTTTCTCCTTTAGAAGTCACTCACTTGAGGTTTCCACTCTCGAAATCACCGGCAAATATCAGGTAAAATATATCGTAGTAAAATAATGTCCTCAATTCTCCCGTTCAGACTTTGAGATAATTGAACGATACTTGTTTGTCTCGGGACGTAGTACCTCCAGACGTTGCTTGAAGATTATAGTCTTAAATGTCACAGATTTCTTCACCATCCAGTAAGGGTATTATGTTGCTTATCAGTTATCAGTTCTGTCGTCTGTCATCGAATTGTTTATGCGACAACAGTTTGCGGAGAAGTATTGCGTAGAAATATGATATATTTTGAATTATAAACTGTTAGTAGGCATTTGACTATAAATGCGTTTTGTACGTAGGTTCTTGGCGACTTAGTTCCTTATTATTTTAATATTCAGTTCTATGCATTTTCTTCTTATGTTTCATACAACTTCATCTGTGAACACACTTACTTTAAAGGTTTTTTTTCACTTGTTAGCTATAAACTTGATACTTTATAGCGTGTTTATTGTGTTTCGAAAACGTAAAAACTTGAGCGTTGCTAGTTACAATTAAGTTCTTAATTTTAAAAAGTCCTATTTTTCTAAGTTACGTGTGTTCACAGGCCCTAACCTAACAAAACTGAGTAGTGGAGACTATTCGTTCAACGTTCGTGTGGCTTCCACACCTTCAGTAGGCTCATGACGTCACGATTTGCCCTGAAGTCACCTTGCTAAGGTGTACTTACGTCCCTCGCTGGGGTCACGTGAACGACTTGAACCAAAATAACGTCACTAGCAGTGGTGGTGGTTGTCAGGCTAACTGTAAACATGCAGGGACACAAGTGACACTGACCTTAAAGAATTATATTTTTGTTATTGTGTTAGATTGTTCTTCGGTTTGAAAACGACGTCATTGATTTTGGATGATTGATTGAAAGATGCATAATAACGTTGTACAACTACATTTAGATGATTTTAGAGGTGGGCTGTTACCGCCCTTCCTGAAAATGGTGAAATGGTATTTAGGTTTACGAACCCTATCAACACAAATGGGTTATTTTAGAGGCAGGACCTCAGAGTTTAACGTCCAACTCCGAAAGAACCGAACCAAGAGGGAAATTATTGTAAAATGCCTTTCCCAAGGCCAGGACACAAAGTTGGCCCGAGCTGAGGCTCGAACCCCAACCCCGCAATCTCACGATTACGAGTCCGGTAGCCTATACACTGGGCTTCCGATGCTAACTGCGCTGCTCTTCCCGGTCCGTGTCAACTCGGAATGAGTAGGATATATCAGTAGCCATCATCTTAATAGAAAATAAAACTGATGGTTTAAAGTAAATTTCAAGCCCTCAAATGTAGGTATTTTTACGCCTCCATCCACGTAATTTTGATCATAATCTAGAAGGGCAGCTTCTGACCCTGTGGCCACTCGGGAATCGAAGTTGGGTTTTTATTCGTGAGACAGTGAAGCAGCTAAAAACTACACCACATTCGTTAAACAAGTTAAACACATCTGTATAAAGCAACATTGTGACAACACAAAATGTTGTCCCTCTAAGGCTAAGAGTCGAGATCCTGGATGTCCGTATTTGGTCAAATAAATCCCCGATGGAGGTAGAGCTAAGCTTTACTTTCACAAACGGAACTCCGACTTCGACAATAAAAGTATAAAGTGTTACGACTTGGTGGAATAAGGCTTTCGTTAATTTTTAGGCATATTATGGAGTTATTGATATCGTTTTTAACCTTTTTCATTAGAAGTCGAGGTGTTTGCGATTGAAATAGGTTGGGACCGCCCGGCATCAGCGGTAAAATTAACTGTAAAAGTTTAGTGATTCCAAAGCCTAAGAGTCCTTCTAAACTGCAATATATTATATTTATACTAAATCTAATATGAGCTTTAGTATAATCAGATAAGGGAAGTAACTCTAACACCGCAGAACCTGAAGGACAACTGACGGAAGACAGCAATTATAATGTTTCTGAAAAAAAAATAGATGAGCCAACGTACACCACAACACTTATATTATATCATGACAAACATACTCACTGCTTGAAGCTCTCTTTCTCTATCACGGTCTCTTATGTTGTCCTTCTTCCTTCTTCCCCCACCCCC